ATTAGGTGTCAAATAGGTCATGTTTCACACAGATAGGCACTGGATTTGGTAGAGTTCCATGTTGATACCACATTTCAATAAACTGCTAAGAACATCATGGACATTTGAGTTTTCTTCCAAGCAGGTTCAATATTGAACAGTAGTTACCCAAAGGGGTGGAGTTAACTATGGCAATGATCCTGTATGATTGATAAATACATCATGGTGGTTATTACCATCATGGGCTTTTTAGAACTTAAAACATGTCTTTGAGTCCAGCTCTGACAATATGCTTCCCCGAAAAGATAATAATGTATCCACATTTCAATTTCTTCATGTGGGAAATGGGGCTAATATTATCCCTTAAAAATGACTATGGGGCTAAATGAGATAATGCATGTAACATGCTTATCATTATGCTTGGCGTAAAGTAAATGCCTATCATGGTAATACAGGCATGGTATATAGCTGGTATACCATGGCATAGATGGTATATAGCTAGTCCCACTGATACTACATTGAAATCAGTTATATCATCAATCTTAAGTGCTATAGATTCTGCATAAGGATTTCTCAAAAATGATGTATTTCAAAAACATAGTCTTCCAATGAGGCAATTTCTGGAATATAGTTTATAGGACTTTTGATGATATCCTTAGTCTACTAAGTGGGACTTTCCCAGGTGTCTAGTACCTCACCATGACGTCAAGTTTTAAGTTCCTTTTTGAAGCGTGAACATAGCTGTTAGGGGGAGGGATACCGATAGTGTTATTCTCATCTTCATATATCATGTCTTGAGACAGTTCAGAATGCCACACTAACCTCTATATTAAGCTAACCTTTCTCTAAACCACAAGTCATGAGAATTGGGGGAGGTGACATTTGACTTTACTACCTGTAAATGACCTTTCTTTGATTAATTTCCCTCTTCCAAACCACACACCATCTTTCAGAGTTATCAGGCAGGAAACGGCTCCCCGTTTCTATCCCTGTGTGGCTTTTAATTCCCTAAGTTGTCACCATCTGGTCATAAAAAAGGGGGAAGATTGAATCCCAGGATCCTTTCCTTCACTTTCTGTTGGTGTGTTCTATTTTCTTCAGTCTATATAGGATTGTTTAAACATGTGATTAGATTCTGGCTGTACTGTGAAAGAATTTTGGTTTACAAGGAGTGGAGGCTTCTCACAAAAACTGGACATGTAATTCCATGAGCTTTTCACAGGACTGAAAAACAAAACAAAAGAAAACAGGATCATACTCCTATTGGCACTGGTTTAACTACCAAGTATTAGCCTTGCAATGTAACCTGTCATCTGCTTTGGACTTTGGATATCTCTAGCAGAATCTGACTGTTGGTATTATAAATCTCTAGGCTACTATGCCCTAATTTCATTTACCAATTCCAAAGTCAAATGGTCATTTTTGGTTTTCTCTCTTATCCCCAGAGGGTGTTTATTATCTTGTATCTAACTTACTGCTCAGTAGATAACGTGTGTTCTCCTTATTTATTATCCCTTCTATTTGTAAGCTGTGTCTTTAGAAAGTTGAATCATCTTTTTCTTCTTTTGTGCTAAAACTTTACTGGAGAATTCATTAACCTCATTATACTTTCTGTGTTCACGGATTTTAGGGTGTTTAAGAAGAATGTTCTCCTCAATGTGTTTTAGAGTTGTTTTTTGAGCATCAGCTATCTACACTTGACCCGGCCCAAAGTTCCTTCATTTTTGCATTGATAGAATTCATTTCCTCATAATGCTGAACACAACTGCATCTTAAAGCAACTATGATATATTCTGATGACGTCTTTAAGAATGTGTACTTTCATTTTGATTCAGAAACTTCTCCAGTCCTCACCCCCTTGGTCTAAGTTTAACTCCCACAGTTTGTAATTCTCATTTGGGATAGAGATAGCTTATCTTCTGCTCTACATCAAAAGGTACTCTCTAGAAGAAATCTGATATTATCCTATCAAAGTGTGAATTTAAGTCACAATGTTACCTTTTCTAGGGACATGGGTATTTGCACAAGAGCCTTATCTCTAATTGCAAAGTGACACTCTTAAGAATTGTTAAAAGAAACTACTGTTCAGGGTGGATGGAATAAGAAGACCCTTACCATGGGGGACTCACATGCCATGCAAACAGACCCCAGATTATCAATGTACTTGGGGAGGTATCAATATGCCTTACTTATGAACTGGATTTGGTATCTTAGAATGTTTTCTTTGAAATTATGGTTCTATTTCTGGCCTGCTTGCTTCTTCATGCTGTCAATCTAGGTCGACAGGAGAATATGAGACCATTGTTCCACATCCCGATTAAAAGAGAACACCACTTCAAAGAGAACACCACCACCTGACAAAAATAAAACAATAAGCAATCAGTTTAAAACATTGTGTCTGGTGCTTGTTAATTTTAACTTTTTCAGGGATTTAAGTAACTTTAGGGAACCTACTTTGGGTGATTATGTTCTATATCTGCACAACAAAGCCACCTAAATAAAAATAATTAATATATAATTAACTTCCAAAAATTTCCCCTTTAATATTAGGCAAGTATTACAATGTTTAGAATTGTCCCCTGCTAAAAACAAAATAAAAAGTTAAAAAACATGGAGTAAATTCCTTGAACAATTCACTTTTATTAAAATTCCTTTAAATCTAACACAGATAAAATAAGCCATCCAAAGAAAACAAAATCCTTCATAATGTACCTTTTAGCTATGCTGCCTTTTAAAAATGTTCTTTTGCTAATTGCATTCAGTGATTACAGAATTAAATCTGTTGCGTTCTTTGTCAACTTGGTTTATGCATTATCAGGCATTAGCGTGAAATAAATTGTTTATGAAACAGAGAGGTCACATAAATGCATATTACTGAAAATTATATTTGATGTACAATTTTAACCACTCCTCTTTATATCTGTAAAAATTATATTCTTTCCAAAGTGCTCACATTCTTCCTGTGGATGTAAGCCAGAGAGCTGACCTGTTGATGATGTTCATAACATTGCTTATGAGCCAAGACTTGACCAAAGTCTTTATGAAATTAGACTATATCTTGTTATCCTACCCTTTTTGTCCCTTAAAAACAGTTTAACATACGAAGCTAGGTGAGTATGTGATTAACTCCATATTCATCCATTTAGTAAAGGTTTATTGAATACTGACGTACCAAACACTGTGCTAGTTGTGAGAGAACAGTTGTTAGCAGGACAGACATAATCTCTGCTCTTAAAAAAGATGACATTCTGGTGGGGGAGACAGATTTTCTTTTAAAACTCAACAGATAAAAATATTTACAAATGGTACGATGAAAGAAACGTGCAAAGAGCCAAGATATGGGTTGGTGCTGGGTAGGCACAGTTTCTGGTAGGATGGGACAGAAAGGATGATAAAGCAGCTATTTGAAAAATGGTGGGTGTGGGGTATGTTTTCTCCCCAACTCCTAACTCCCCAAAGTGAATATTTATACAGTACTGCACTTCCCTGGTGGCACATTTTTATGCATAGTATAACCATCTACGTATTTTAAAAATGTGTGTATTGTAGTTACAGCAAAAGATGGAAATAAATACATCCTCTAACCACTATAAAAATACTGTAGAGAAAAACTGTGAACACAGTGAATTACTACAGTTTATACAAAGGTTCCTTTCTACAAGTACAATTGTGAGTCTCAGAGCCAGGATTATCCAACTGCAGAGGATAAAATAGAACCCCTGGTCTAAGGATGTAAACATAACCTTGACTTCTTTGGGGTGAGTTGGACATACTATGATCTGCAAATGAGAAAGAAACGTAAGACATTAAAACAGGGGAAAATTTCCCAAATGTTCTAATTCTCACAAGTGGTTATATGATCTTTGCCATCCTAAAATTTGGGAGCCATTGCCCTTTACCTAAATCCCCCAGTCTTGGGGAGACAGGGCCACCCAATGTAAAGTGTCTGAAGGCTTAGCCACTAGAGGGAGAGAGTGTGCCTCTGGTGATTCCCGAGCCAATGAAAGTAACTCCTGGAAAGGATAGGCTTTCAGGGAGCTAAATTAAGCTCTAACCGGCTAGGGGTAAGGACTATTCCAACTCGGGTAGCTTTGGGAAATTTGAGGATGGTTCCTTAGGACTTCACAATGGATCCTCTTCCACTAGTAATGAGACCCCTTAAACGATGCAGATATTTCACCTTCTTAATTCATCTTTTCCAAGGACCTCTTTGCAGATCCTTAAAACACAAGGCTTAAGTTTTAGAGAGGACTTGTGGCGATTCAGGGAAGTCATGTTTCCCTTTATGTTTTGGAAATTCATATATAATGAACAACACTCCAACTTTCTAAGATAATTTAGGACTAAAATCTTTGCTGTCTACTTGGATGACTGGAATGATTTGTGGAATTCTGTCTTCAGTCTTTCTCAATTATATAAGACTTTAGGAAGATTTTTCTTGAGATAATAGGCTTAAAAAATCCCCCAAACCCTGCCTTAGCAATATATAACTCATAGGAGAGAGAGAGAGAGAGAGAGAGAGAGAGAGAGAGAGAGAGAGAGAGAAAATATATATAGACTCATAGGAATTGCAATTTTTCTTAAGATTGTCATGAAGTTGTTGCTGCCCTAAGCCCAACTGATTCGTTCTCCAATGAAAATTGGTCAATCTTGTTTGCACTATGGCACCAACTTTCATTTTCCATACTTCAGAAACGAGCTTCTCTGTACGATTGTAGAAAAAAAAAAAAAAACACCCTTAAGTGTTTTTTTGAAATAAACTCTTAAGAAGTAATCATTATACGACTCATATGCACAGTTATTACGCAAATCCCACGGTGTCCATTATTCAGTGTTTATTAATGTGAATGGATTCCCTTTCCCACCTCGTTATCTAAAGACACGATCCAACCATTTACAGACCTACAGACTAGGGTTTAAGATCTAGTTTGATGATTTTTATTTTCAGTGTAGCACTTCTCTTTCCACAGCAGGGAAGAAAAAAAAAAAAAAAGACCAAACAAACCCAAAACTCTCCGCGACTATTTTTGGGATTCTTGAAAGGAGTAGGAGTACGATGCCTCCTCCTAACTCTTGCAGCACTGATTCCCTTCACAATCTGTGATACGGTTTCTCAGAAATGCTGTTTGGCAGTCCTGGTAATTTCATGTGTTTTCAAACTCAAGCCACCCAGACTCCACAGTTCAGTATTTTCAGCTCCTTTCATTTTCCTTTTCCCTTTAATTATAGAAGCCTCTATTCCCTCTTTTTGCAAATGCGGTCAAGTTAGATGCTCCATGCTACTATTTGTAGAAGATACATGCTTTTTTTTTTTTTTTTGCTTTTTTTCCTCCCCCCCCCAGGACGCTCCACAGACGCTTCTCTGGAGGTAGGAAGGCTGTGCTGTACCTGGCGGCGCAGACGGCAGCGTCCTGGGGGGTCGTGCGAGCTCCCCGGGACCCTCAGCTCCCCCCCTCGGGCTTCGGTGAACGCCGCAGCAGCCCCGGGGCCGCAAGCAAACGCCAACGCTCTAATTTTAAACTTGCACCGTGAAGCACTTTGCAGAGCGGAGCTCCGTCTCCTCCCTTCGCGCCCTCGCTTCCTCGGGACTCGCGCGCGGGGCTCCCCAGGGCCGCGGGTGGACGCCGCAGCCCCGCTCCCCTCGCGCGGCCTCGTCGCCAATCGCAGTTTGAAAGAAAACTTCGGCATGGACCTCCGGGCGCCGCTGCAGTCCCTCCTTCCCGGCCGGCGGAGAACGTGAGATTTATTAGGACTCGGGGCGCGCGGGGCGGGGGTAGGGGGGGCGGGCTGGGGGCGGCAGGTTACCTGGTTTCCCCCCCCCGCCCGCCCGCTGCGGGGGGCGGGGCTCCGGGGGCCGCGCGGGGGGGCGGGGCTCCGGGGGCCGCGCGGGGGGGGGCGGGGCGGGGGCGCGCGGGTGGGCGCGAGGCAGTGCGCGCGCCGCGGAGCCGCCGCCGGGCAGCACTTGTCCTGTAATCGATTGCCGAGCGCGCCGAGCGGCCCAGAGCGCAGCCCCGCGCACACGCGCCGTCGCCGGCCCGCGCGCACCCGCGCACGCGCGCTCGCGCACCCACGCACCCACACGCACGCGCGCCGGGCCCCGCCGCCGCCGCCGCCGCCGCCGCCGCCGCCGCCGGCCCGCCCTCCGCCCGCGGGCGTCTGCGCGAGCCCGGCCGGCGGGGGAGATGTGCTCCGGCTCCGGCGGATCGGTTTCTCGGGGTTTGACCAGCTGTCCCGGGCTAACCCTGCTCCTCGCTGAAGATGGAGGAAGTAAAAACAGGATTACCCTTAGCTCCAGATCCACTGCCTTAGTTTCCACCACCCACCGCAGTGCACAAACACACGTTAGGCACAGGAAAGAAAGAAAGAAAGAAAGAGGCGATACACTAACAGTAAACACAAACAAAAGGGTGATGGGATTATTTTACTGCTTGCACTGCTGAGGTAAATCTCCGCTCGGCTTTGGCGTGGGGAAGAGCCGCTCTGGTTTTATTTGTCTTCTGGTTCATAGATGGTCTATGAATATGCGTGTCTGATTTGCAGGGGTGGGGGGAGTGTTTTCAAAGTTAAGCGTGATTCTGTAGCATCTCGTTTTGCACTGTGCTGTGATCAAGTGACTTGTTGCTGTGGAGCGGTCCTGGTGACAATACGGCGGCCGCTCGTGCGGGCGGCTCCGCGGCGGCCGGAGGGAGGGAGCCCGCGGCGGCGAGCGGGGCCCCGGGTCCGGCCGCTCGGGGCACCGGCCTGCGGGGATGCTGACCCGCCCGCCCGCCCGCCCGCCCGCCCGCGGCTCCGCGGCTCCGCGGCTCCGCTGCTGTCAGGGCTTTGGGCTCGCCTTGCTTTGTTTTAACTCGAATTCCGAGAGAGATTGGGTAGCTTGAGATACCTTGCAGCCAGCCGTCCTGGTGGAAGGAAGGTAATATCCAGATCCTGTTGGAATTCTTGAAAAAAAGCAAAAAAAAAAAAAAAAAAAGAAGCTGGCATGACACATGTGCAAAGGCAGCCGCTCAATCACTTTGACAGGTTCCAGGATGGGCGAAAGCGATGGCATTAAGATCTGATTTTTTTTTAAAATTTTTTCCCTTTTTTTCCCCCCCTTTTATTTTTATTATTTTATTTTGTGTGTGTGCCCAGGGCGAAAAGCCGCCCAGTGCAGTTGGCCTAGGCTCCCGGCTGCGATCTGACCGCCCCTCCCCTCCTACCAGCCTCCCCCACCCCTCCGCCCCCCCCACCCCCCACCTTTTCTTTCAGTTTTCTTGTCTTAGCTTTTGGTCGATTCTTAAGGAACCGGTGGATCAAGTTTTTTCTCTTCTGGTTAATCGCATTGCTGTAGCACTGACTGACCTCTCTCTCTCTCTCTCTCTCTCCCTCCTTTTTTTTTTTTTTTTTCCTCTTTCCTGAAAGTACGTGGTGCCATTCCTGAGTGACTTTTCCTACTAGACCATCCCAAAGGGACGAGGGGGAGGGGGAGGAGGAGGAGGAGGAGGAGGAGGAGGAGGAGGAGGAGAGGGGGGTGTTCCTTCTCTCTCATTTCTTGGTTTTGTTTATCAGCCGATCTGTTTGCAGGATTTGGGCTCGGAATGACCCACCTGTAAAGTGCTTTTCCTTCCTCCTCGCCTTGAACTCTGCAGGGGCTTGGCGTGGAGGGGGCCAGGGAGGGAAAGAGAGAAGGGGGAAAACACAGAAAAAACTTCTTTCTTTCTCTCTCCGTTTATCTTCAGCCCGACATTGTCACCTCCTCTTTGAGGGGTTAGAAGAAGCGGAGATCTCCCGACAGAGCTGGAAATGGTGATGAATCTTTTTTAATCAAAGGACAATTTCTTTTGTATGTACATTTCGTTTCTCTTTCTCCTCTTCTTTTTTTCTTCTTTCTTTTCCTTCTCCTGAGGGTCAGTAACCATTTCATTGATGGGGGCAGACTTCTTTCGCTTCTCCCTGACGTCTCTTTTTCTTTTTTTGAATATGTGTGTGTTAAATTGTGTGTACATGGCTAAAGAGATAAACTCATTTGTAAAATATCCGAGGAAACTGCTCCCCCTTTTAAACTTTACGGATGCCTTTCTTGAAAGCCTTATGTAATCATAATTTGAAAGAATTTGATAACAGTACAGCAGGTTGAAATTTAAGTGCTATGTAGGGACTGAGTTGGGAATTTGATCTGATGATTCCATAAAGAAAGAAAGAAAAGTTTTTTTTTTTTTTGGGGGGGGGAGGAGGTGGGAAGGGTGGTGGTGAAGAAGGGGAGGGGAGGGAGAAGGGAAGTGGTTTTGGAGACAAGAAGTGAAGCTGCCTGTTTTCCAGTAAGTAATGGAGAAATTCCAGGAGCCAGGGCTAAATATACTTGGCGATCAATACAGAAATGGCTCATTGTGAATAATTTAGCTGCTGGTGCAGTGAGAGTTTTGAAACTAAAGGCAAAAAGGACCAGGGCCAGAGGAAAGAAAAAAAAAAAAGTAAAAATCTCCTCAGGACGTGTCAATTCTTTAAACTTTTTTCCTTCAAAGAATACAGTTAGCTTATCGATCTTTTCATTATGTGAAATCAAAGCTAGGGGGTGTCATCTCATACAATTTACTTTTGTTTCTGAGAATTAAGTTCTTGTTTTGTGTCATTGGTGCATGAAAATAATTCCCCAAACTTTTGAAAAAGTGATCCCCTTCCCAAGAGCAAAAAAAAAAAAAAAAAAAAAAAAAGTTGGTGAAATTTTCAAAATCGGAATGTATTAAGTTGGCTTGGCATTTGTATCCAACCTTCCTCTGGCAGGAAATTAAGGTTACATTGAACAGGTGCTTACACAGAACTTAGTGTAGGCTAAAATGTCAATACAAGTCTGGGAGTAGGGTGACTGCTGCAGAAACCTTCGAGACACACTTGGGCACTAAATTTTTGTTTTGTTTTGTTTTCTTATGTTTGTTTGTCCTCCCCCCTCCCTATTAGAACATGATGAACCAACTTGCAACAATTGTGAATAGAGCTATCTGTATACCAGGGAAGTCCTCAAACTGCAGTGTGATTGTGGGAAGTAGTGAGTGGTAAAATACTTAAATCCCAGGGAAAGCTGGCACATTTGAGGTGTACCTTCCCTGTTTTGTTTTATTTTTTTTTCTTTAAGTAAATTCTGATTAACAGAGTCATTCCTTTCTCGCTACAGCCCATCTCACAGCACACTTATCTTTCCTATCCTATCTCCAGCAGGAATCAGATCATTTGCAGAAAGAGTTCAGTGACTTGCAAATGAGCACATACAGTACTGTAGTATGTTTCTTGGGCACAGGTTGCAGGAGCAGCAACATGGGCTAACTGCTTGGAGCTTCAAATAAGTTAAGCATTTAATGGCAGATACTGAAAGGAATCATTGTGTTAAAGGTATCATCTTTTGTATTGCAGCACTGCACTTTGACTATGGAAACAGAGGCTATTGATGACTATATAACGTGTAAGTATTCATTTTCACTAATTTGTTATTGGTAATAAAATTGCATTTGTGTTGCCCGTATTTTATCTTCTGAATTATGTTTTTATCAGGGATTCTGGTCTCTTATTTTCTGTCTGTTCACAGTTTCACCTTTAAATAAGTCTGAGAAAAATATCAGCAGAGAAACAAAACGAGGGAAATAATAGGAATATACCTACTCTATTAATGATAGTATGTTTAGTCAGTAGTGACTGGCTTAGCAGGTCAGCACTTTTCCACTGGAGGGTTTTCATTTATTTTACTCTAAGTTTAGAATAAGTCAGCTTACATATATGTCTACTAATATGGCGTGTACTAAATATTTACTACCCTGTAACCTAATTTTTTGACACATAATGTGAAAGCTCCTTAAGTTGACCTTTTTTTTTTTTTAGCCAACTTTCCTTTTTTGACATCCAGCTCTCTGATAGTCAGCATTTTGGAAAATGCTCGTTATAAATTACCCTGTGCTTAATAGTTAAATTAGATGTTCAAAGAAAACTTATTTTTTCAACAGAAAAATACTTTAGAAATCAACTCTTTCAGTTGCCCTTATTTTACAGTTAAGATTATTGTGATAATCAAATTTTGTAATTTCTTTTTTTTTTTTATTGTGGGCTGGGGTGGCTCTTCATTATTTCATTCATTTGCTATATATTTCTAAATTAAAATTCCTGATAGTTTCTTTTAAGGGAAAGATGTATTGCATTAAAATTTCAAGGCTATGCATGCCTCTGCATGTATGAAGCAAAGTTGGTAATTAGATTTTATGTGACAATGGACAGAGACTGAAAGATTTTATTTTGTGAAAGCAGGTGACAATGAGCTTTCACCTGAAAGAGAGCACTCCAATATGGCAATTGACCTCACCTCAAGCACACCCAATGGACAGCACGCCTCACCAAGTCACATGACAAGCAGTAAGTCTTCATTTTATGATTTTTTTTTTTTTCCTATTTCTCTAGCGACACACTTGAATTTGTTAGGTCTTTAGGGTCCTCTCACATTGTGGTGTAGTAGCTGCTATAGATTTTGCTAAAGAAAGAACAACACAGATTTATTCCTGTTCATTCTAGTATCATAAAACATGAGCCTGCTTACTAGTCTGACCTATCCCAAGGTGGCATTTGGGAGCTGGTGCTTACCTGTATCAGGTAAGAAATGTTAGACTTTGCTGGTTATTGTTTTGACTTGCCAGGTTTATGACTAGATTTGTTGTTGTTGTTAGATAAAAGAATATGGAAACAAGTCACTTCCAAAGGACTCTTAACAGAAAAAAAAAAAGAAAAGAAATAATTTTATATTGCCTTGGTACAAAGCTAATCCATCAGTGGGAGAATTGCAGTATTACTTTTTCTTTTTCTTTTTTTTTTTAATATGTGCAAGTTTCTTCACCAAAGTGATGGAAGTGAAGTGTAATTGGAAGTTTATGGACCTGATTTAAATCCATTTCTCTAACAAAGTGAAAGCGTTTTGTTTTACCCTCTCCAGAGAACTGTGAAAATTAGGAAGGATGTTTTGAACTTGCAGGAATAGACAAGTTTGGGCTACTATTTTTGATAGAGTCATTCATTGATGTAGTAAACGTTGTTTTTTGGTAATAAAAGAGCAACTTCTCTGCTGTCCGTACAGAAGACAAAATACTTCATTAAGAATATGGTTTGTTTTCTCTTAATTATAATGTTTTTACCAGTTTAGTTATTAAGTGCAAATGCTCTGTTACTCTTCCTCAAACGTAATATGAAATACCGTGTTTCCCTTATACTTTTGTATGTGTTAAATTCTTCTGTAGAAAGGACATCTGACTTATATGTAAATATAACTTAATTTAAAAGTTTTCTATTTGGGTAATATGTGAGGGTAAGGCAGTTTCTTAGCTTTTTTTTTTTTTTTAAACAAAGATTTAATAACTAAAGGAAACTGAATCAGCTACTAAACTATGAACATATTCTCAAGTTAATTCTGATAATCCAGAGAGAACAAATGTTCTTTCCAGTTTCCTCTTATAGTTCTCAAAACTTGAGGTTGTTATAAAACTACTAACTTTGTAAATAGTAAAGACTTCTGAAGTATAAGCAAAAGTATATAAAGTACTATTAAATATATTTTGTAGTTCATTAACTTTAAGTGGTTGTAGCTATTGACTTGAAATTTTGATTGAACTATATGAATTTACCTATATAAAAGTTTTCTTTTTATTAATGGGAAGTATTTCCCAGGAGATTTCATTCTGGAGGCAATCGTTAAAAATCCTTTATCACATAGAAAGAAAAATTAATAGAGAGTGAGTGAATGGATATTAAATTATAATGTTAATCTTTTATAATGGATCTTGTAACATTAATTTATTTTTTTGGCTAGTTGGCTATAATTTGACAAGTTATACTACTACAGTGTAGTTAGTACAATTTTTAGATTTTAACATTTAATGTTATTAGTTGCTTGGTACAATAGATTTTTTTATTTCTCTGATAATTTCTGTTTCATTTCCTAAAGAGTAAAGATAGATTGATAGGAAAATTTCTCTTAGAAGATTTAAGTACCGGCTTTAGAAACTTGAGAAACTTTGAATAATCATAGACTTTTTAGCTATCACCCCCTACCCACCACTAGGATATCAGCAGGAAAATGCGTGTTAATTGGCTCCTTTATTTGTGAATTTGATTTTGGTTTTGCAAGTACTCTTCAAAAAAGCAGCTCGCCCATTTATTTTTAAGTAAACATCGCAGAGTGTGGGCATGATCAATTTGAACAAATAAGAACTGTGCTTTTCACATTTGAGCTTTCCTCACCCAGCCAACAACAGTAAAATTATGTTTGGTACAAGAGTTTTGTTTTGTTTTGTTTTTTTTACCCAAACTTACTAGCCTGTGGCAATTCCATGTTAATACGGTTTTTGGCGAAGCTGCATGTGTTTTCGCGTTCTTTTTCCGAAGAGTTGCAGGTGAAATATTTGGCTCTCACTTCAGAGCTGTCTGTTGCATCCTTTATGTAGCCTGTCTTTACAGTATCTAGGTTACCCACTTAGGTGTTAGATGGAGAAGATACCCATTTTTCCTTTCTGTTAGATCTAGGAGAATATCAGCATTTTAGATTGCCCGAGCAAATAGTGGTAAAGAGGGACTCTTGTCTCTTACTTAGAACAAGAGACCTAAAATCGGTCACTCAGATGTTTTTCTGTAACTTGGAATAATTTATGAGTGTGCGCTGGGCCTGTCAAATTGCTTGTGGCAGAGATGATTGGTTTTCCTAAATCCATTTAAATGCATTGTTGAACTTTATCAAATGAAAATAGCTTATTTTTTTTCTGCAGGAAGGGCTGTTGCGTCCAAAAACAGAATTGAAATTTTGATTGAAGGTATTTAAGGCAAAAGTAAATGGGAATACCTTTATGATAGATTAAGATAGCCTCCAGGAGCACCAAGGAGAGGACAGGATTGTATGTGTACAAGGGAGAAAGTTATTTTAAAACATTTTAGGGGAAAAAACAAAAAAAAGAATTAAAAAACCTTTTTTTTTTTTTTTCCCCATAAAGTAACATTCTGGCAGTAAAGTATCAATAACCTGTGATAGACCACTTCTTTTGGTTTTAGGAAACTGGTCAGTTTTACCACAAGGTCCTAGTCATTTGTTTAGGTTATTTGATGACTATTCTAAGATGAAGGGTGTCTGTACAACTTGCTGCCAGCTATTGTATAAAAAATAATGACAGCAGCTATCATTATTTGACAGTGCTAGGAAAAGAGCATTGGCAACTTGGGGGAAAACTAAAAATGTTATATTGTCTGCCGGCTTTTGGTTTTAAAATTCAGCATGTAAGGTAATCTTAAAAAGTAAAGGGTAATACTGATCTTAACATTTTACAGTAGTTATTTCCTGTGTTTTAGAATGAATTTTCTCAGAGAACTTTAGACTTTTTCTTATGGAATAGGATCTCTTTGATAAGAAGATGGGCATTGTTGCCTGAGATCATTAGTGTACATATTGAGTCCGCTGACAATCTTCGGTGTCAGGGATGACAGTATATGCCTTGATGGCTACTGGAAATACACAGTGTTAAGTGATTTTAAAAATAGACTCTGGAAGTTAGGAATCTGAGACAGACAACTCAGACAGAACAATATAAAAATAATCCATATTGTATTTTGGCCATTCAGATGAGTCTTACTTACTTTGTGATTCCTTCTGTTTCTGGGTTAGCTTAATTCCAGTTCTTGCATAGTTGCTTCAGTATCGGTTTCAAATTGTTCCATCTATACATGCTGCTTACTGTTTTAAGAAATTAAGGTTCAAAAATTCATAATTAATCTTTATCTTCTACTTTTACAATGCCAATAAGTAAATGTTCCTTGGAGATAGCTAATGGTATGAAAATACACTGTGGCACAGATTTTGTTTCTATTACTTTAAGACTTTTTACATGGATCAGCTTTGCAGTCAATACTATTTACCAGTCAGTTTGATGGCCAGGTGGCATGTATGGAATTGGAAGAAGTAGTAATTCTAGTTTTACAAGACTCTGACCAATAATCAGGTCAGGGAATCTAGTTTATTCTTTTCATAGTGCTACACATTCATTTTTTTTCTTAGTGAGTTTCCATTTTTAGAGCCTAGTGAAGCAGAAGTATATTATGTTTTCCATTTTTCTTATGTAGAAATGGAGATCTGAAGAAATCGGTTGACCTTGTAGGTCTCTTAACAAAAGGAGGGAATTGTCAGGATTGGGACCAAAAAAACTATGATGTTACCTTGCGGGTTAGTTAGATCACTTAACTGTTCTCTCTCTATAATGTCATTATCTCAGTGTGTCCGCCTTGTCCAATACTGACCCATGTTTTAGTGACAAAACTGTATTACAGAAGTAGAGGAAGGTTATTATGAGGGCAGAGTGATAGCAGATAATCTTGTTAAGCAGATGTTCTCATGCACTTTAAAAAATATAGTTTATATTATGGGACTCACCAGCTTTCTGAATTGTCTTCTGTAGCTTGGTTTGGCAGTCACCCTTGGTTGGATTTCCATGGGATACACCCTAATGTAACACCAAATGGGCTTGATATAAAAACTCACTCTGTTTTGAGTTGTTGTACTTAGGTTTACGTGTATACCCAACCTACATTTAATTTTTACTTGTTGGGAAATTAGGAGAAGAGTTTGATTTGATTTCTTTACACCTATCAATCAAAGTTAAGTATCCTGGTTGTGACTTAAAAGAAAAAAAAAAAAAGGAAACTAAAGGAAGTATGTATAGGCAGGGACTTAACAGCAGAAATGCTGTATATTTGTCTTTGCCCCTCATTTCCCCCTCCTGGCATTTTTAGGCTGCCTCAGCATGAGAATAAAGGCCTGTATTCCTATAGAAGTGTTATCCTTATTGCCTCTGTCTTTGTCAAATATGTCTTTCCAACTGGAAGTACATTTTTTTTTTTTTTTAATGTAACATGATTGGTGAAGTTCTTTGGGAGTCTTCCTTCAAGCTTCAATGAATTGAGCTTTCTGGGTTCCTTGTTCTTTCTCCTAACTTTTAATACTGATGTATTTTGATCTAATGAAGTTCTGAAAGATCAATAGCAGGGCCACAGTGTAAAATGGGATAGAATGTGCTGTTTTTCTTTGTTTTTTTTTTTCCCTTTATATCTATTTAGGTCAAATATATTTATTGATTGGGTAGCATTTTCCTTTTGGAATTAATCAAGACACAGACTATCTATGCTTTGAAAGAGGTAAGGAGTATTTAGGAACAATGTATTCCTTATTATAAATGTTTAATCAGCACTCGAGTGAGAAAAGGACGGGGGATATAATTTATTGAGTATATATAGGAAGTCCAGCACTATGCTAGATGGATCCCTATTATTTCACTTAGTCTCAATGATAGCTCTGTGAGAGAAGTAGTTACTCCATTTTAAAAAAAGATTTT